GAAGGAAGGAAGGAAGGAAGGAAGGAAGGAAGGAAGGAAGGAAGGAAGGAAGGAAGGAAGGAAGGAAATTAATTTGAATATCAATTCCAACATGTCTTTTGAGTGTTTTGAGAAATTGTATGTTTAGTTCTTGCAATGCTAAGCCAATGACTTTTCAACTCTTTGTCTAGTTATACTGCAAAACTGTTTTATTATTTTTACCAATACAGGAAATGAGCTCACATTGTCAATGAAACTTTCACAAAGGCAGTGACATTGTTTTTGAGATCAATCTTGGCATGTCCTTTCTGCTTCTGCTATATGCTTGCCTTCAGCAAAGAAAAATGGTTTACTGTTAGGAAACCTTCCAAATAAAGCAAGGAAGGTAATAAAATTGTTTCACTTGTAAAGGTGTGAAAGCACTACCAAGGATACAAAAGTGCTGAGGATTTCTAGCAGAAACTTTACAGTCTTGGCCTGTGAGCTCAGGAAGATAGGGGTTTCCAAACAGACACCTTAAGTGTTTTGGGAAAATGAGCATGGGGACAATTTGAAAGGTATCATTTGTGTAAACTTCAGTAAGCTTTGGAGCTATTCTTGAGTGAAAGTGGAAATACTAGCTCACTGATTTTTGACTTTCAGGTTTTCTTTTGCTACGGATATTGCTCAAGGAATGGCCTATCTCCACCACCACAAAATGTATCATGGGCGGTTGAAGTCTAATAACTGTGTGATAGATGACCGGTGGGTTTGTAAAATTGCAGGTAAAGAGAAGACTAGAAAAAGTTTTCAAAGCTGTCCAATAACCCCCTAATTATAGATTTCACACAAGTGCTTTCATGTTGACATTTCTTGTGGAATTGCTGACTGTCCCAGACTTCACTAGCAGCACCTTATGCTGAAGCAAGTTTCATGTTACATCATCAAGTCAAGTTACTTAGTACACATCACAGAGGCACACTTCAGATCCTACAAATTAGTCAGTCTATCACTATCTGAGCAGAAACTGCATCATTCTGTATTTTGTTAGAGAGAGAAACCTGAGGCATGGACAATGGTGTAAAGAGATGTAGTATTGCTGACTGATTGTTAGCACGAGGTAGTTTAATTAGCATGAGGTAGTTTAATGGAGAAAATCAGACTCAACTCAGAGCTTTTAAGTCTTGTTCACAGCACTGAATTGTATCCTCTCAGACATGGAGCTACAAGTCAGGTCTACTCTTGGTACAGGAAGACAGCCTTTGGGAACAGGAAAACCACTGCAGGGTCTAGTTTAGTTTGCAGCTGCCAAAGGGAATTAAGGCAATGATCATGTCTTCTACTTTTTTTCCCTGAGTAGTGATCATACTCTGTAACCCATAGCCCTCCTAAAAGCAGCAGCAGCAGATTTATTTTTCAGTGGTACATCCTATGACTAAGGCTCCTACACAGGACCAGGCTTACTTCTCCAACTCCTTCAGTATCCTTCCGCCGTCAGAACTGCCTACTCTGCTTGGAGCCTCTGCTGGAGAAAAACAAAAATTAGACATAGTTGGATTACATCAACTGCATCACCTTAGCACAGCTCCTCTCAAGTAAATAGGATATGTGCAAAATCATTCAGCAACTTCTGTTTTGATTCTGTTCTGTGTCAAATTGTAGAGTTTTCAAATCATGGTTTATCTGGATGCAATAACGTTAAACAGACTTCATAAATAACAAATGTGGGAGCTATTTTAAAAATGACCTCCACATAAAGATTCAGTCCCTAGGAACATATTAATTAGAGGTCACTCCAGACAAAACTGGGTATCTGCATCCAGCCTTTCCATACACTCAGAAGAGTGCTGTTTACGTAAGAAAGAAAACCGAAGTCAGTTGTTTTTTTCTCCTTCGTCCTGATTCTGAGTCATATGCTAAGAATTCCTTCTATATTAGGCTAGAAGTATAGATGGAAAGATGTTTCATGTCTATTCTGCCTTTGTTCTGGTGCTAGCAGTATTCAAGTAACGCCCACCATCTGATTTCAGTTGTTAGTCTGTCTAACTAGTAATTACTTGAGCAGCCTGCCACTAGAGATAAGGATCAAGGGACAAAGTAGAACAGAAACCTGGATTTACATGCTAACTCTTCCACTGAGGTGAGACTATTGTCTGAAAATAATATGATAAAATCATAAAATAATTCTGATTGCAATAGGTCATGTAGTTCAGTTTCTCTGCTGTCATTCAGTCTTGGCCAAATATTTGGTTTTCCAGACGTTATATTTGGAATAGTTTAGAGGGGAAAGATCACCCAAATGCCACTATTTCTAGACTAAGATGTGCATTTAGAATGGGGAAAATTAATTTCTTTAGACTAGCTGTGTAACTGTCTATTACTGTACATGTTTTGGAGATATATCCAATGAATGGTTTGCTTCCTGTTTTTTTCCATTTTAGATTATGGCTTGCAGTCATACAGAAAAGAAGATTTTCCTGATGGATCAAGTTCATCCCAGCAGCATTTGATTTACACAGCTCCTGAAATACATACTCTTTCAGATGTTGAACCCAATTCTATGTCAGATGTCTACAGGTTTTCATGATCTGACTTTTAGTAATCCTGAGTATTCTTTAATGACAGTTAGGTTTAGTATAATTCTGTTGTCACTCCAGGTATATGTTTGATTGTATTTTTAAAAGGATTGGTCCTGGAATACAGAACAGCATAGATATCACAGGATCTTCACTTTCAAGGTAGACAATGCAATACTGAATTCACTGACATTATTGAAAAGCAGAGCTGACCCAATAATTTATAAGGAGCTACTTGACTAGTAAGATAAAAAGGCATGAAGATCTGCTATTATCTAATTATCATTTTTTCTGTTGTTGTTTCTTATGAAAAGTAGATTATTTTCAGCAATGGCAACACTTTTAAAGTTAATAGCATCAATGTTCTAGGATGTCATAATGCGCATATGCCTCCTGTAATTCTATAATTGAATGTCAATACAATTATTTGGGGGCATATAAATGGTGATAATATTTGGTTTACAGAGGAAAAATAAAGAGAAGGGAACGAAATGGATGTACTAGAAAATAGCTCCATTCTTTTCCTTTTGAAAACCTTTATAGAATATTGCTTTCCAGTGGCTTTCCCTGCCAGTGGTGGATAGCTTTGATCCAACCACTCTTCAGATAAGTGGGAACACAATTGTAAACAGGGTCTGCATATACTGTGCTTGATCATTAATTTTTATCTATCCTATCAGATTAACTGAGCAAGAACTTGATGTCTCAGTAGTGTTTCTGCCTATAGGCTTCAATATGTCCTTAGAATTTGCTCCAAAATAGCTCAGCTAAGGCAGTTTGAGTGTTGGTATTTCTGGCTACTGTCATTTGTCCTATGTCGGTCTGTACTTTTGCAACATGAAGTAGTCTTTGAGAGAAATGTGCTCCAACTAAACAATAATTTTAGGATTGTCTTATACATTTCAGTTTATCATTGCCCTGCAGCCAAAATGTATCCTAGAAAATGTTTCCTTGGCTTGTTGGTCTCACTCTACTCCTGTTCTGGATAGATATCATTATTTGACTTTCAAGACAACTTCACCTCCTGAAGGCATTTCTTGCCAAGGGTTCCCCTTTAAATAGTCTTTAGATCTGATTTGCTCATATAATATATGAGTTCATATACAATGAACTTTTGACTGATTCAGTGAATATTTCCTGGATTTGTCTTGCTGTCCCACCCACTCACAAAATCAGTATCTTCTTCTGTGGCACTGCAGTTATTAATTTCTTGGTTAAAAAAAGGTAAAAGCAATGAAAGATAACACCAAAAAAGGGAGAAGAGCAACATGAAGACAGGGAAGATAGAGAAGTACTCTTTACCATTGAAAGGGTTGTCTTCTTATCTGAGCTGTTCTTTAGCATTTGCATTTTAACAAATCTTGTGTTTGATGATATGGGCAGGAGGTAAGCCTTCCTGGTACATATGTTTGGCCTCACTGGCCAGGCAGCATTGATCCAGTATTGAAATCCTCAGTTTTTATCTGTGCAAACATTCCACTAATATTCCTGAAGGTGAGGCCCAAATAAAAAATTAGTAGAAACTGCAGGAGTGAGATTTGTAATTTAGTATGCTCTTCCAGATGAATCACTTGCTTTTAAAGTTCTCTAGGGAAAGTGTTGGTCAGATGGGAAAGCTAAAATGGAAATGAGAACAGAAGCATGAACGTAACTCCTCTTCTGAGCTAAAGAGGCTGTTTCCAGTCACAGTTTCTCCCAGATTGGTTCTTCTTGATTTCGTCAATCGTCATGTGAATTTCACTATCCACAGTGGAAAAGTGAATTTTATTGGGTAGTGCAGCTGTAGATGAATTAAATCAATACTGCTTTATAAGACTTACTATAATCAAATTATTATCCTTAAAAATCTGATTCAGCTTTTCTGCCTCACCAGGACTGATTCGCTTTCTTCTACTAAATCACCACAAAATTAATATAAAAGTCTCATCAGAATAATTTCTCTTTATTCATCATGTTTTGTATGCATAATTTTATTTTCCAATGGTGGTCTGCAAGTGAGTTGAAAGATAGATAAACATATCCTGTTACCAACAGAATATCTTACAGAATAATGCAACCATTAGCAACACAACTGACTGAAAACCAATATCCTCCAAAAAAGTAAATGTTACCAAGCTGATAGGCGTGCAGGGGTAAATTATTACAGTTTCACTATATAAAGAGGCATCTTTATCTTGACTGTTGGCTAGAGGAGGTGCTTGCTTCTAAGAGATCACTATTCTGAAAGATCTCCAATGAGTTCAGAGAAAAGACTAAATTCTCTGTTTTTACTGTCTTTTTCCATTCTTCATCCTTGATGAATGTATTTGACCTTAGTTCAACTGAGGAAGATAATGACCACAAAAATATAGTTCAGAAGGAACAAGCAGAAATGCTCAATATACAATATCTCCTCTGGACACTGTGTCATCACAGACTTCATGGACATTTTCTAGAACAGTGATCTTTCCAGTGGCTGAAAAAAAGCCTCCCACTGGTGATTCTGATGAACCTGCTCCTGTCCCTTGATTGGAGCAAAAATCAGACTGCTATGTTTGACTAGTAGGAATCATGTACATAAACCTGCACGTATCACCTCTGGATTCCATTAATTCTTGCAGAGAAAATTGCTTTGCTGGCCATCAAACTCAGATATCTCTGGGACCTGTAACCATGAGAGAGAAATACCAAGAAACATTCAGTAACAAATCTCTGAAAACACAAAGTAGTAACAAGTAGCAGCACCGTTGCCATCCTTCCTTTTTGAAATACTGGGATTTCAGTCCTACAATGGGGAAAAATAAGAAATAATGAAAAGAAGAAATCACTGACTCAGTTAACTGTTATTGCATTAACATTTTTCTTCATTTTTATTCTGCAGTTATGCCATCATTTTACTAGAAATTGCCACTGGAAGTGATCCTCTGGCAGTAAGTAAAGATGAACTATGTGTAGAATTTGCATGAAAACTTTGATTCTGTTTCTGCTGAAGACACAAACCAAACTTTGAGTTACTGCACCTTAGAGTTACTTTTTGAGCATGCATTTTCCTCATGATTTTATGGGTGCCAGTTCAGTTCCCATGGAGCATGCAATCAGGGTTTCCTCACAGATTTACCAGTTTTCCCTTTCAGAACTTTGAAGGAGAGCATATGATAAAAATAATGTAGCTCCAAAACTTCCTTTCCTTTCGATTAGTTTTGTGAGATTTAATGGCTAGGTGGATACAAGGAGAATGTATGCATTAGCATCTTCCTTTTTCTCCGGCTTCCTCCTTTTCCTGTCATTTACAGGCCTCTTTTGTGGAATCTTGCAGTAGTAAGAATAACCTAGAAAAGCAAATTAGCTGCACTCCATAAGTAAAATGTCTGTTTTGAATATGTCTTTTGATCACTGCTAAATAGCAAACACAAAAAGAATGTACCTTGAAATTGAAAATAGATGGTCTGGATATGTAACCACATTCTCTCTGAAATAATTTGCTTAACAAGAATTGTAACAATAAAGACTTGAAACTACTATTTTTCCAGTTCTGACAGTTTGTAATGAAAGATTAATATAGTCCTTGTGATCTCGTAAAAGTTTCCCAATATCTTGCTAGGTATTCATTTGTTTCAATAGTTGTTTATGTCATATAAACATTGGGATTAAAGTCTGTCAGCCTTGAAAGAGCTTTTAGACAAGGTTACCCATTTTAGACTGGGTTATATTTTTTTTAATCCTTTCTTTTCCCTTATGCTCTTATGAAAAAACGCTGACTTAGAAATGGTAGAGGTGTTATAAAAGTGATGATGATAATAATAATATATTTTCAGTGGCTGGCATGAGAACCATAACTCTTGTATCAACATTCTTCTTCTTCTCTAGAAAGATGATGTACATTCAGCTGAATATTCTTGGCACCCACCTTTGGCAGAATTAATTTCAGGAAAGGCTGGGAATTCTTGCCCATGTCCCACGGATTATATAGAGGTGAGAAAAATACAATATTGTGTACAAAAATCATTTACTGAAGTGAATTTGCAACAAGTTATAGAAGTGGCAATATTACCTTTGACAAATATAAATCACCTGGAAATCAAGAATTACACCTCAAACAAGCCAAAACTATAATATTTAATATCCTTAACAAAAAATTTGTGATTGTGACAATGAAAGATTCAGTTGTCCCCTCCTGTTGCTGGTGTAATAAATATGTTTTTATTATTCAATCATTGATTTTTGTGCAATTTCATTTTATTATAAAGTGTTGAATCCCATACATATTTTATGTTAGCAATACCTAGCTAACTGACAGAGGGCTTTGACATAATGAAGTCTGTCTCAGGCAAATTATGAGTTTAGTTTCTTTCTTATGCAACAAGTCTTTCTCTTCAGTAGCCTCAATAAAGTACACTCCCTCCGAGTTTAATTAAATCAGAACAAGATAGGGTCATCCTCATTTCAGTTTAAGCATAATATAATTCACCTTCGCTGATTTGTAGCGACATAAATGCAAAAAAACTTCTCCTTAGCAGCACTGGTTTTTAATCCAGACCTTAACATTCTTAAGGGGTACCTCATCTCTTAATATTTTGTGAATTTTGTGTACGGACAAGTCTTCTGAAAACTGTATGTGACTCCAACAGCATAACACTAATACAGCACAAGACAAGAGGTTGAGCAGTGTTCAGCAGAAGGAATGTGTATATTTTACTCATGATTTCCCACAGCAGCATTTTCATGAACCAACATCCTTCATTCAGCAAAAACCTGTAGAACTCCAGAGGCTTCAGTGTAGCTCTGACACTTTTCACAAGCTGCAGATAGAGCTTCAAAGCCAGCTGGCACCAAGAAAACAGAAGTATTAACTTAAAATACTGCTTATGTTTGGAATAATAAAAGGTTGTTTGCTTTTCTCACTCTTTTTCCCTTCTGCAGTTAATTCAAAGGTGCAGAAGGAATAATCCATCCCAAAGGCCTACATTTGAACAAGTCAAGAAAATGTTGTACAAGATGAATCCTGTTAGCCCTGTTGACATGATGATGACTCTGGTAAATTTAGCTTTTTAATCCAATCCCATCTTCTCACTTCCAATAACTTTCACCTCTATCCTTCAGGATTGTTTTTTTTTAATCTTATACCTCCTTGTTTGGTGAAAAAATCCATTGCTGTTTGTTCAGTTCTGTCGGGCTGTCTGTAGCTGCAGTTCAGCTTTAAACCCAGCTTTCCTTCTCATTCAGTTTTTCAACTTTCTCAACTTCTTTGAGGCTGAACTTTTTTTTGCCTGTCAAATGTTGCTTGCAAACTATATTTCCCCTTTTCTGTGACTCAATGGTCTTATAGTACCAGGGATATAGAATCCTGCATGCTACAAATAGCATGTTTATAAATAATTTTGAGCAGGGTATCTCAAGCCCATCAGCAGAGAAAGAAGATTCCTGCCTCCACAGACTGTTCTCACACAGAGGAGGGATGCAAAAAGCAAAGCATAGACTAACATAGCAAGATTGTTTATGTAAGAGCATTGTGAGCTTTCGATAAAAGATCGAGACTTTGTTTTGTTAAGATTCTGATCTGTGTCTGTAAGTTGCTTGCTGCATTAGATTTTGTCCCTAAATTTGCATGAAATTTGAAAAGCCTGAAATTGCCTTCTGCTGTCTTGTGTGTAAGCACCAACCTCAAGTCTAGATTCATAAATTTACCTAAGGAGAAATCTGAAATTTGGATTTTGTAAAAAAGTGTTAGGTGTCTTAGACCTATGTGGGGTTTTTTTAATGTCTGAATATTTTCAAAGCAGAATCATTCAAATACTTAAATCCTATCCAACTAGGCATCTGTTTCAGTAGGAAGATGAATTTTTTAAAAAGTTTAGAAAATTCTCTGTTATTTAGATGGAGAAATATAACAAACATCTGGAGATACTGGTTTCTGAGCGAACTCAGGATTTAATGCATGAAAAACAGAAGACTGATCGTCTGTTGTATAGTAAGTTATAAAGAAAAAATACTGGATATTCTTCTCAATAATATTTTTTTTCAGCTGTCTAACTATAAACAAGAACCCTTTGATAGGTGATTATTTAATTGGTAACATTTAGCTAGCAAAGAATGAATATACTTTTTTCTTGCAAAGCTAGAAAGATATTTAGCTACTTTCTGTATTTCCCCCCTAGAAATCAGTGCACTCATCTGAGAGCTATGGCTCAAAATCCATAGTGCTCTGACTTTGCATTGGTGTGGCAGGCCTTTTACATAGTTATAAATGGTGTGGAATTGCAGTTGGTTGCTTTTGCTGGCAGTGTATGTTCCAAAATTCTATAAGAAAAAAAGACATAAAGAGATGGGAATAGCATATAAGAGAGGAAAAAACAAAAGGGTGTGAAAGTGCAAAATAGGGGAAACAAAGACAATTTACAAAAAAACAAAATGGGGGACATAGAACAAACCTAACACAGGTAGAAAGGACTAGCAAAGAGTTGACAAAGAAGGAATTAGTATAATCTCAGATCACACCATTAGAATCTAACATTACTCTTCCTTGGAATGTATAGATACTAGCTTGTTTGGCCTAAAAGTTATGGACCATGAGAAAAATCTGGATGTGTTATCAGTGAGATTTATGGTGAATTCTCACACTGTAGCAGAGCAGATTTTGATGGCAAAGTGTGTTTTCACCTTCATAATATTTTGCATTTATGAACATTTTTTGTGCCTTTAAACAAACGTGTTATGTTTAATATGTTCTTTTATCCATTTAAGAAGATTACAATGCTCTACTTTCTACAACAGGTATGTTGCCAAAACAAGTAGCAGATGATCTCAGACAGGGAAAACATGCACAAGCTCAAAGTTACTCAAGTGCTACCATCTTCTTCAGGTAAATGAAAATGAAAGATAGGACTAGAACTGTCTCCTACAGAAGAAACTTCTAGGCTTCTGGTGGAGATGAAGCTCCTAACTGGGTACATAATTTCTGTCTAAACTGCCACCTATTGTAACAGGTGGCTCTGCAAAAGAATGTCTTCCAAAATTCTCATAACTCCCTATTTTTCATTATAATTACTTAGATAAAAAATTATATTACTCTGGAGCTCTAACGAACAGCAGCACATCACTTTACATGTTATAAACATGCATGAATGTATGTTTCATAAGATAGGTCTAAGTAAAGAATCCACTATTTAGCCTGTGTAAAGAAAATTTGTCTATTCTTAGAGTCCACATGGATTTACAGTTTTAATTCTTTATGTGTGCAGGAAGCAGCATATAAATGGCATGCCTTCACTTGTCATAAGTGAATAGATATAATCTTTCATATTTTTCATTTATACCTAACCCAAAATTGAAGACTGCTTAGTCTGTAACAGGTTAAAGTCTACCTGTAAAAATGCTTTACTGCATTGAGAAGCAAAAAGGCTTAGGCCAGTCTGTCCTTTTAAATGGAAGGAATCGTTTGTAAATTTAAATAAATGAAGACAAAACTATCCAATAAAAATCTTAGCAAAATAGTTATTGAAAAGAGAAGATTGATGTAATTGCATTGAGAAATTTTTATGGTGTGTTTAAGATTACTAGTTGGCAATGCTTGGGGCAGTGGGTGATTATGCTCTTTCTGTTGTGTTTTAACAGTGACATTGTTGGCTTCACTGAGCTGTCCAGCAGCAGCACACCATACCAAGTGGTAGATCTCTTGAACAAGCTTTATACCACTTTTGATGAAATCATAGATAACTATGATGTCTATAAGGTGGAAACAATAGGAGATGCTTGTAAGTTCCTTGAGCTGTGGACAATGATGGGCGTGGAGCATCAAGATAGAGACTGATGACAAGGAAGAGCAGCTGAAGGAGATTTGGAAAGTTTCTTATCCCCGGGAAGGCCAAACAAAAAAAATTAGTAGATGAGTCCTACCAGAGCCCTAGCAAAATTTAGGAACATTTTCCTGCATACCTTTAATCATTTGTGTGATTGATAAGTATTGTGAATGGGACAAATTAATTGAGTAAAATACCACTGCTGTTTGTTTGGTTCCTGTCACTAGTGAGATCTGACTTTAAGTCTTGGCAGCAGATTAATCCCAGTTGGCAATTTCTGTACCACAGGAACACAACTAAAAAAATTTACCTTCTACATGGGATCATAGATGCCATACCCTAAGCTTTATTATCTGTCTTCTTCTGCAAAGACCATAGCAGTATTCTTTCTTCTAACACACTGTAGGGGCTTGACTGTCTCTTCTCATTGAGTTTGTAGGAAAATGGCTTTATATTTGGTACCATGGCAATCTGCTGGGAATAGACTGTGATTAAAACTGAGTTCCATAAAACCTAAGAAAATCTAACAGGGCTTTTGGATGAAACAGACAGAATTCTGATAAGAGATATGGGGGAAAAAAGCCCACTCTTTTTTCTCTGTGGAACTGTTGAACACATTCTTGAGCATAAAATTCCTGAACAAATGGACCTCATAGATCCCTAAAAGACTGGTTTCTTGCCCTACACAGTAACAGAATCAAAGAATCATAGAATATCCTGAGTTGGAAAAGATCCACAAGGATCATAGAGTCCAACTCCTGGCCCTGCACAGCACCATCCTCAAGAATCACACCATGGGCCTGAGAACATTATCCAAAAACTTCTTGAGTGTATCAGGCTTGGTGCTGTGAGGACTTCCCTGGGGAGCCTGTTCCAGTGCCCAACCAGCCTCTGGGGGAAGAACCTTCTCCTGATAGCCAACCTAAACCTCCCCTGACACAACTTCAGGCCATTCCCTCGGGTCCTGTCACTGCCACCCCAGAGCAGAGATCAGTGCCTGCCCCTCCTCTTCCCTCACAAGGAAGCTGTAGCTGCAGTGGGGTCTCCCATCAGGCTTCTCTTCTCCAGGCTGAGCAGACCAAGTGCCCTCAGCCATTCCTCACATGGCTTCCCCTCCAAGCCCTTCACCATCTTTGTTGCCCTCCTTTGGACACTCTCCAACAGCTCAGTGTCTTTTCTGTGTTGTGGCACCCAGACCTGCCCCCAGCACTGGAGCTGAGGCTGCCCCAGCTCAGAGCAGAGCAGGACAATCCCTCCCTTGCCTGGCTGTGATGCTGTGCCTGATGTCCCCAGGACAGGGTTGGCCCTCCTGGCTGCCAGGGCACTGCTGGCTCATGTTCAGCTTCAACCAGGACCCCCAGGTCCCTTTGCTGCACTCATTTCTGCTTTCCAGCCTGTCCTTTCCCAGTTCGTCTTTGCATCCAGGGTTGCCCCATCCCAGGAGCAGAATCTAACACTTTTTGTTCTTAAGCATGAAGCTGGTGATTGCCTAGTCCTCTAATTTCTCAAGTTCTCTTAGCAGCACCTTTCTGTTTGTGAGGCAATTTAGGAGCATCAGCAGACTTAGTATCCCTTCCAGTCCTGTGTCCAAGCCATTTATGAAGGTGTTGAAAAGCACAGAGCTGTGGATGCAGCCCTGTGGAACCCCCCTAGTGAAATGTCACCAGTCTGGTGTCACCCATTCACTGTAACCCTTTGTGACTCACCCCTGAACCAGTTGCCTACCCATCACATAATTTGTTTATCCAGATGTGTGCTGGACATTTTGTCCAGAAGGATCCTGGGAGAGGCAGTATCAAAGGCTTTACTGAAATCCGAGAAGATTACATCAACTAGCTTCCCTTTATCACCAGGGTGGCTTATCCTGTCATAAAAAGAAATCAGATTTGACAACTGGGGCTTTCCACTCATGAAGCCATCCTGGCTGTGACAAATGGCCGTGTTGTCCCTCAGGTATTTTTCATTACCTCCCAGAGAAATTTTCTCTGAAATTCTGCCAGGCACTGAAGTGAAAGTGACAGGCCTGTAGTTTGCAGGATCATCCCTCTTGCCATTCTTGAAAATTTGGATAACATTTGCCAGCTTCTAGTAGAACTGAGACTTCTCCAGATTTCCGTGGCCATTCCAAAAACATTTTCAGAGATATTAAAATTACTTCACCAGTTCTTTGAGTACAGTGGAATGAATCCCGTCATGCACTATACATTTACAGGGATCAAACTAGAGCAGCAAATCCCACATAAATTCAGGGTTTAGTGTGATTTTATCATTCTCACAGTCATGGTTGTCCAGCTCAGAAGTCTAGACCCCAAGAATCCATCATCAGCTATTAAAGCATAGTGCAGGAATCTTAGGAGAATGCCTACTTGGAGTCATTGCCTTTTTTTGTGATATCTGCCCAATGACAAAAGATACTGAACAGCCACATTTGCACTGTCTGTCCCACTTTAAGCATTCTCAGTGCAGGAGGATGAAGAAAGAAAGGATTGAAGGGAATAAATCTAATGTTATCTTTATATATAAATAAAAATTTAAAAATCTAGTCTTAACTTTATAAGAAGGAAATACAACATTTTTCTTACCTAAGGTAATCCCACACATGAGCCATTGCCCTAGCCTTCTTTTGTTTCTGGCTTTCTGCAGGCACAACTCTGCCTTGGTATATGAAGAAATAGGGCTTCTTTATTTCTTTATGTATTTTATTTTTTTTTATTGTAGGCAGTATACTTTAGTAAATCTATGTGTAATGTCAAAGGTTAACACAGTTGCATTGTTGTGTTAAGATATGGTGGTGTCGGGAGTACCCAAGGAGAATGGGATCCTTCATGCTGGTGAGATCTCAAGCATGGCTTTAGACCTTCTGGATGTCTGCAAGACTTTTAAGATTCCCCACAAGCCCAATACCCTCCTAAAGATAAGAGCAGGAATACATTCAGGTACGTTGAGATAGCTGAAAAAATCTTCCTCTGGCTTTACAAATGCATTTGTAGTGGCTAATTTCTCTCCATTAAAAATGAAATTAATTTTTGGTATGCAGTGGAATACAACATAGAGGTCATCCCAATGGAATAATTTATTGGATGCATGGGATATTGGTACCTCAGTTTTGAATACAACATTGGAAACATCCCACAGCCCCTGTGTCTTTGCTGGTGTGAGTTAGAACTGCCATTCTTTATCCATTACTTTTCCTTATCAGCTGTTCTCTTCTCAAAACAGTGAGTTGTTTCTTGACACTCTGATCTAGCCTTTACTCTCAGACTTCTAGCTTTCTGATTTAATCTGACATATGATTGCAAATCTTTTTTGATAGACAGCTGGATACGTCCTGTGCAGCCCAGCATCTGCCAACTAAGCAGCGTACATTGTCTTACTAAGAAATCATATCTTCTATGTTTTAAATCACTTTTAAGACAGATTTGTAACCCCATATAAATACAATACTGACGCTCAGACTTTATCTGATCAACAAATTAGATTAGGATTGTGTAGGAAGCAGCCACAAGGCTGCATAACCAATTATGTGATTTATAAACACAAAATGTCTTGTTTTCCATTTCTTAACAGGGGCAGTTGTAGCTGGAGTTGTTGGAACCAAAATGCCACGATACTGTTTATTTGGAGATACTGTGAACACAGCTTCCAGGATGGAATCTACCAGTGAAGGTAATAAGGAGCAAACTGCAGGTGGGATTTTAATCATGCCTGAATTAGTTCTTTTAAAATGTTGGTGTGAGTTTTGAGTCTTGGATTTCTGGAGTCCTGGATTTTGAGCTGGATTTATGGTAAAAATATTTTCATTACTCCTCTTTTATTGCTGATAACTTTCTCTAATGGAGAACACAAGAAACAGTAGGACACCATGGGAGCTGTGTCAGTGTTTAACCATTATAGAAGATTATGTATGTGTCCTCCAGAAAAGAGTTTAAACAGAAATTTTTTGGAGGTATTCTCACTGCTTGTTCCTAAGAGATAACAGAGCTCCAAGTTTACTTATCAAGCTTCACCTTTAGCCAATATGAACATTTGAACCTCAGATTCTGAAATATTTTAGCTGATCTACAAGAACTGAAAGGAAAAAAGAAAGACAGAGTGATTCAACATCGCAGAACCCTGATGTCTTGTTTCCTTTCATTCATGAAACTGAGCTGAGTAGTTTTATGGCTACATTGCAATGCGTTGTAAATTAACTAGGCACATACAAGATCTTCAAGTTTACCGTTTCATGGTGAAAACTGATGCTTTCAACATCTATCATGGTCCTCTAAAAACAAGGCAAAAGGGCAGGCGAATGGTCCTAAATGATGGATTCGAAAGTTTTGAAAGGATTTGAGAATCACTAGCATCCATTCCTTCTCACCATTTTTATTTTTCCAAAGGAAATGCTAACTTGGACGGAACACATATAACTTCATTTTCTTTCTGTCAGTCTCCTAAATAACTCCTTTCATGCTCCTTGTGTCATCTTATCTGAACTCCTTTAAAACGAATACCTTTAAAGTCTGTTTCCATCATTAATAGGTTATCTTTTGGTCTGTATGCTAGTCTCTCAGATGGTGCATCAACACTATAGACTTCAAAATGAAGACAGAACATTTATCTTTCAAGCCTGTATTTTCTCTCCCTCTTTTTCTTGCCGCATACATCCGAGGACCTCAAATTACATTACCAGGTTTTAAGCCTAAGATGATTGCTTTAAAATAGATTAATTACTAGCAATGTGCATTAAAAATGCTATCACCTGAAATCTGAGAAATAGTGTCTTTTTTTCAAGCAAGATGACAAGTTGAAATATAATGTATCTACTGCAAAGAATATTTCTGAGATACGTATCTTTATATCAGGCAGTGTTTTAGCAAATAAAAGTGGACATTATAGAACTGTCATTTTCTGATTTAAGAAAAATCAGTTAGACAATCGTAGCCAGTCCTACTATCATCTGGGATGTTTTTTAAACAAAGAAACATAATGATTGGATCTGTGTCACAGAATGATACAGGTGAAAAAAATGCTTCTTGTGAATGTGATTAAATTTTGGCAAATATTGTCTCTTTCCACTGTCTTCATTTACAGATTTCATTTTAGAGTCCGAGCAAGGATGGGTGTTTCTTTAATGTTTGGACTTTGCTGAAAACTAAATGTGCTGAGAATGTTCAGGTTCTTTATTGACCAGGAGGTAGAACTGTGTATGGTTTTCACCAGATGAAAAGGATGCTCATCAGTAGCACAGATAGACAACTGCAAAGAGTGCAAAAATATGATTAGATGCAGAAAGTGAAGAATAATGTTTGTTGACAGCCCCATATTTATCCTGAGATGCTCTCACAAGCAGGCCAGAATACTGGAGCTTGTGTGCAAACATTTTGAATAACAAATAACAAGGAATGAAAGCAAAGACTTGAACAAAATACCCAAGGGGGAGTTCATTAATGAGTCTTGAAATTTTTTGACACACTTTGAGAGATGGGTCTGTCTTAGATGTATAAATTGTTTGCTAATATGATATTTATCTTTCTTTCCAGCTCTTAAAATACAGTGCAGTTCAAGTGCATACCAGCTGTTGGAGCAGATTGGAGAGTATGTGTTAGTATGTCGTGGGAATTTACAAGTCAAGGTGTGTATGCAACATTTATACTCAGCTTTTCAGAAAGGAGAGTGTGAAAGTACTCTGGACTCCCTGAATTTTAACCCATGCAGTCCCCTATATATTTTAGTCCTCTGTATCCCACAGTGCTTTGGTTAGACTAATTCCCATACTCAAAGAGGGCATGTTCAGATTTTAAGCCAGGACCAATTCCATGGACTTGTTCATGGGACAAACCTGGTAAGTCGGAGATGAAGGACTTAGTCAAGCTGGGAAGTCTTGCATGGCACATTCACTCACAACTGCTTGAAATCAAAAACGATCCTTCAGAGACATCACAAATCATCATGTGAGTTCCACAAGAGAATTAACATACTTGTGGATGGGACTTCAAAGAATTGTTTTAATTAATATTACAGCTATTATCTTTTAAGGAGAAGCTTTATGCCTCATTTTTCCTCTATGTAAAGTGTCTGACAGGCACACATTTCTCCTTTTGGGACTTGTTTCGCGTTGTAGTAAAAAAATGATTTCAAAAATGAGAGGTAGTGTTATAACCCTATGACTGATATTCTTCCTTAGGGGAAAGGAGACATGGTCACATACTGGCTTGAAGGTAAGAAAGCCTCTGTCACCCAGAAGGCAGTCACCAGCACTCCTGTGACTCTGCAAGATGCCAACAGAGTTTCATATAGTCCGATACCAGGTGTCCTTTCCAGTGATCCTCTTTGAAGTCTGCTTCCTAATCACTCATTAACTCCAGTATCTCTTCTGCTTTCAGTCTATTAGGTCATCCTGCTGAATTAGAAAATTAGAAAAGAGATAATACACCCCTTTGGCCTTGTGAATGTATTAGCTCAGACTTTATTTACAGGTGTTTCTCCCAGCAGTGGCTCTGAAAATACAAAAAAGCAAAAAACTCATCTTATGGAATAATACATAGAAATGGCCCACCAGCTACCAGAGCAGAAGGTAGCTCCCAGTGTTACTTCTTAATTTGATTTTAATGGGAAATCCTCGGCCAGCAGCCACCATGACTTCAAAATCGGTTTGACATTCCAGCCTGTGGAAGTCACAGGTGCTCCCGTAGGAAAGGAGACAGTGTAGTGCTACTGTTTAGTGGTATCATAAACCCTGTGAGTGTGGTTGGTTTTGTGCTATGAAAGGGAAAAATGAGGTATTGTGTGAGGAAGTAAGATCCATTGAAAGAGGAGGATGAAGCAGAGAAATTATACTGGATACAGATTGAAACAAGAATTTGTACTCCTACTTCCATTCCATTGCTATTGTCTGGAGCATGGAAAAAAATTAAGAAGAAAGTCTGGTGTGTTTCCATACAGCCAATTCCTAGTGACACCTCCCATCTTGTTGCAGAGACCTGAAAATCTTGGGAGAGAAATGCAAGACAATGTATACTGTTGCTAAACAGGATAAAGTTCACTACAGCTGCTCTTGTCTTTGGCTGCTCTGGGATTTCTTTGAAAAACAGCTCTTAACGTTAGCTGATGTTGTTGCTTTTACGAAAGTGGCAGTGAATCTACTATTGCTGGATAGCTGTCTGTCAGTGAAATCAGGCAGCCCTCTGAGTCACTGTGTAATTTAGGACACAGTTTAGGAAAGGTCATTCCTGAGCCAGCATTTCCTGTAAAGAGAGAACCGTCATCACAAGGGGAGTAAAGTCTAGATGAGCATGTTTCTGTGAGCACTGCTGGTGCTGGCTTTATTTAAAGACATACCTTTCGGGGTTATCTGTTTTGAAGAGTTTAGCCCATTCCAGTTCAACTGATTAACAAACAGTCTAACAGACTAAGTGAAACTGAGAGACAAAGGATATCAAATATCAAAGCATTTCCACCATTATGTGAGCTACACTGGATAAAGCTGAATGGGAGGAGATAAAAGGGAAGGACTTTGAGTGACATAGCACCACTTGCTCCTGCTTATTCTGCTCCCTTACCCTCCAGTCTGTCCCTGATCCTAGGTAGAAGAAAAAAACACGCATGTAGTTGCAATTTTTCTGATATGAATTTGTGTAGTTTAACCAAGCACCTGACTACTTGTTCATGTTCTTATATAGCTAGCATAGCTACAACTTTTAATTCCAAGTATGTGCTATGTGATAGTGGTAGGAGTGCCACACTATGATCTTTCTTCGCTTCTGTGAGAAGTAAATGCAGCAGTAATGATAGATTTTTCAGGGTTGCCTAAGAGAGGCAGAAAGTTTAATACTTCCAAATTATGGGAGATTTTTTTGAACTACGCAGAAAAGATGTATAGCATTCTGAGTCTGTGTATGTCTCAGAAGTCTGTGAAACTGTCTGCAACTTGAATGGAAAAAAATTGCAGCAAGGGACATAGACATAGCTGACTTTGGCACATGAGATCCCAACATAAAGTCCAGCCAAATTTTTTAAATCAAAATTTTAAATTAGTTTCATGTTTTCCTAAGCTTAAAAATTCCATTCTCTTTTTTTTTTTTTTTTTTTTTTTTTTTAATTTCATATTAGAAGGTATGGTACAATTACTTATTTTGTAATCTTAGTAGAATAAACCTTTCAGTTATCAGTAGCCCAGAGATATCCTCTAATACAGCCATTTCCTTTATCCAAATGCTATCTAGAAATTGTGAAACTCTCTGCTCTATTATAGTGCTTCATGTTGTATTAAATACTTTACATTATCTTAATGAGTTTGCATTTGTTTACGTTTTTATTAAGAAGGTGCATATCCTTATCAAATGTGGATGTGAAAATATATGCTTTGTCCATAGTATTTCGGTTTTAACTCTTCTGCTTTGTTTTAATGTTATCTATGGAATTAAAAGATTTTCTGAAAGTGTCTTATGAGTTTAAAGTCTTCTAAATAGAAATGAGTGATGAGTGACTAACAGCAAGCTTGCTGGATTGGCAGCTTTAACCACTGACAGGTCCTTGGGTAGTAGTTCCAGTTCTGCTGGAGACAACAGAGACTCTTGCTGACTTCGGGAGGCTTAGCTCCTGGTAGTTTTCTACAAAAGAGATACAGCCTGAAGAGTGCCTGGGTCAGCCTACCTCAGTTTTATTGTTACTTCCTAATCCTCTCCTCGAACTGAGCATCTCCAGAATGAGAATTATTTTCTATGGACTGTTGAATCTCTCATATCTTTCCTACAACATCAAACAATAGTCCTTATTAATGTCAGTTTGTCTGATGACTGTGATGATATGACTGACTTCAGAGGACAGAAGTACAGTAGTAAATGTTACAGATACAAACAGAAGTGTCCTCAGTCAACTGACAAGTATTTTAAGATTAATCTCAGGCATTTTGACAGATGTAGACAATGACAACAGCCATATTTCAGATGCAGGAAAGCATTTACCAGCTGGTAAAGCTCAAGTATGATAACCAGTACAGTGCTAATCTGTGAGATGCTTTAAATCCACAGAGATTCACATCTCAAATTTGGAGCTAGTCAGCTAATCTAGCAAGCATTCTTTTCTAAAATAGCACTATATACTAGAAGTATGTGATGTGTTCTTCCTTTTCTTGATGATTTTATCTATGCCAGAAAATGGGAAAGCAATTGCAATAATAGAGCTGAAGAAGTGAAGGTGATATGTACTTTATAAATCACTTCATACAGTAGCTATTCATTTTCTACAGTCATGCAAGATAATGCAGATGATACTAAGATACTCTATTCACGAAGAGGTGATTTTATGGAAAGATTGTGCATTCTGATTACTGCTTATTGCAGCTCTGTCTACCTAGCAGAGAGAAGGTAGGCAGGAACATTAAAAAAAAAATCACACAACACAAAAACTGACTTATGAAAGTATTTTATTAGCTTGATAAACCGTCACTATATTGTTTCAACTTGAATATTGAGGAACAGACTGAATAATCACAATATTTTTAAAAATCACAACAAGTAAAGCCAAAAATTCATTAATGTATTCCCAAGTGTAAAACTTCCTAGATTTTATTCAAACAATGGGCATTGTAAAAAGACTGTGTTTTGCCACCAAGAAGTTATTCTTTATCCCCAAGATTAGGTAGCAAACATATTTTAGTTAGCTTGTTATTGGTGTGTGTAGGGGGGTCTCCAATTCCAAGGTTCTTTTTTTTTTTGCAAACAGGAAAGTTATCTGCTTCCTTGTACAGCAAATTAGTCAAATGAAATAAATTAATTTGTTTAAATAAAAGTGAGGTGAAATCAGGTGTGCTTTGCAAACAATGCAGGGAGTGTTGAGCCTAACTGTGAAGTCAAATGATGCAGCGTCTCTTTAAGATCAATGTCTGATTAATATGAGATCTCCCCGACCTGTAGAACATCTCTCCCACCTACTCAGACCCCTAAAAATTACTAATAGCCCTTCAATCTGAATTGACCTCAAAAGTAGAAATCTTTGGTTTTTTAAAGAGCATCTTTCTGGGGCTGTCCTTTCAAACCTGTAAAAAGACAAGGCTATGCAAGATTGTTCTGGTTATACTACAGCTGAGTACCATCTGCTTTTCAGCTAATGAGCACCTTGTCCTCCTAATACCTCTGCCTATTCTTCCCTACCTCAGTATAAAACATTGCACTGTAGATTTTTTTTACATTCTAAATTGGAATTTAAAGACAAAATATTTTGCAATAAAATATTCTCTCCAAATAAAATATGGGGAAATTGCCTTTCCTCCTAATGTAAATTTTGTTTTAAATTTAAATGCACTTTCAGATGTAGAGATATAAAACAGCCAGGGCTTAAAATGTGAGAGAGTGGGTGTTTAGAATTTGTTTGTGTGGGAATCCTAATGACTGAAATCTTCCAAAGAACACCCATGAGTCTACATGATATTATTTAATGTCCCACAGCACAGTAACCACAGTCCCCTGTGGTTCACACAGCGAAACTACCTACCCCACCTTTTTATTTGTATACCATCTTTCCACTGCACTAACTATGTCTTAAACACATATGCAATCCTTTTGGGAATGAAATTCCAAAGACTGGATTCAATAGTTTTCATACATCACTAAGTTTGACCTGGAAGCTGCATATGAAATGCTTAGTGTTACACCTTTGTGCAATTTGCCTTGGATTTCAACAGCAAAAAAATAAGTACTTCCTACCAGTGAGTACCAAATATGAAGCTCATGTAGAAGCATCCTTATGTTCATGACTGTGCACAATTGCTGATTATTACAGCATTTCATAAGATAAATAGAGTGGTGTGAAAAAAAGTGTTTTGATGGGATCTAAAATTGGATCCCCACTACGTAACATTTTTTTCCCTGTAGTTCTTGTATCATGCCTTCAAGCAGGAAAACACACTGTCCCTACCTGAGGAGCCATCTGGGTAAGCTACCAAAGCTACAATACACACATGGAACAGAGCACTAAACATAGTGCTTTTGTGACCAGAATTCAACACAGTTAACCTGATAAAGTAATGAAATACTGTGTATGATGCATTTTTGGTCTCTTTTGCTTTTATGAAAACCTCTCCTGTTCTACTCTCACTAGAACATGTGAGATTACAGAACCAGATTTTCAAAATGTTTAACCCTTTTTCACTCCCTGAGGAGAGAAAAGGACACTTTAGTTTGAAAAAAAATGCTGAAATTCCATGTTTCAGAATTGAATAAAGGTTCATTGGCAAAACACCAATGGTTTGGGGAAATGCTGAATGCAAAGAACTGGAAAAATTAAGATTTTGATTGCCAGGATTTCACAGGGGCCATAGTGAAACACAGACATGGA